TTTCACCTCCTCTCCAACCTCATCTCATACAAGATTCTGTATCTCTCACTGTACTTTAGCCACACCAATATCTTAGATGTCCAAGGATTGTGAACTCTTTTCTGTTTCCTCAAGAGCCAAGCTCTTTATTTCTTGAGGGCCTTTGCATTTGTTCTTCTCCCTTCCTAGTATTTATCCTCTTCCCTCAGAGTTTTACAAGGTTGATTTCTTGTCTTCTTCTGGGTCTCAGCTAAATGCCACCTCCTCAGACCTTTTCTTCAGGCCGCTCTAATCTCTAACCTTCTCCATCTCCTGATCCTTTCTAGGCATTATCACATTCTTTAATTATCTCACTTAATTATTATGTGTATATATTCTGTCACTAGTATGTAAATTGTAAAAAGGCTCTCATCTGTCTTGCACCTAACACAGTGACCTTCATACAGTAAAGTGCTCAATAAATTGATGGCTAAGAGAATATATAAAAGAAACTATAATACTGAATAGAATGAATGAACATGAAGTAATGGGCATCATCATGTACCTGATGATGATAAAATAGTGGATCAGAAAGCTTAAGAGAAAGAACTCAGACTTAAATGCAGAGATAGGGAAAAAAATTGTTTTATAGCAGTTCTTTTATCTAGTTCTTGTTGGTTTTTATGTATCCTATCATTGTAACTCATGCATCTCAATCATGTAGTTACTATCTTCGGTGTCTTCTTAATGTTAAGCCAGTTTTTAATTGTACTAATAATTGTAGTAATAATAGCTAACATTTATTTAGCACCTACTGTGTGCCAGATATTGTGCAAGTGGCTATCCGTTCATTATCCCTAATGATAATGCCAGCCACTTTACAGAGCTGTAGTAAGATTGACTAAAACAAGGAACACAAAAGATCCTACACTAGATTATTGATTTTTCAAAATTAAGTATTATTATTTTATTTTGTATATTCTTTTAGTCGTCAAATATTTATTGAGCACTTAGCATCTGTGTGACCTTAGGGAAGGTATTTAACCTCTCTGTACCTCAGTTTCCTCATCTATAAAAAGGAAGTAATAATAGTAGTATTACCTTATATGAGGGTTAAATTAATTATTTATGTAAAACACTTAAACATTGCCTGGCATGTAATAAGTTATAGTACCTAAAAATGTTAGCTATAATTATTTTCTTCCAATGAAGAAGTCTATAGATTTCTTAACTGAGCTACATAAAACATTTGAATGCGGGGCATATAACACATTCCTAGAAGCTTATACACAGAAATGTAAAAAATAGCAAATCTTTCTAAAGTAATCTATTAATGAGATGAAATTTCAGTCCAGAATCCCAAAGCGATTTTTAAAAATTGAAACTACTGAAAATAATCCTAAAGTTTATGAGACCAGCCTAGAAAATTGAGAAAAAGGAAAATAAAGAGAAGGGATTTGCCCTACCAGTTACTAAAATATTAAAAAAACAGTGTAGTAATTAAGATGGTATGATACTGGCAGAGGAGAAAAGGAAAAATAAACAGAATTATTTGGAATCAGAATTAGCAAGCTAATGTAAAAATTTAGTATTGGATCAGAAGACATTTCAAATCAGTGCAGAAAGAATGGATTATATAATAAATGGTCTTGGGACACTTGGCTAGTCATTCGGAAAGAAGTTGGATTGCTGTTTTATACTTTATACTAAAAAATATTCCAAACTTATTGAAGATTAAAATTTAAAAGACATGAAACGATGCCATCCATAGCCACCATAGATGTTACACACCCTGTGCTGGCATGCCCCTCCTCCCTTCTTTCTCCCTTAGCTGCACAGTGGCCAGTAAGCTGACCAAAAAGCATATTCCTGCACTTGAGGAAGTTTTCACCCTACTTGACAAAGATGACAATAGCACCATCGCAGAAAGGAATTTGCAACTTGGGTCACTAGGTCAGAACATAACAGAAGCAAAATAACAATATGGATGATAAGGCATTATATATTACCATTTATGGCTAGACATTGTTGTACAAGTTTGAATAGCTAATATTTATATAATACTGTGTTTCAGGCAGTGTTGAGGTGCTTTACATGTATCAATTCACTTAGTCTTCACATGTGGTAGGTAGTACGATAATTATCCCCATTTTATGGATGAGGAAACCCAGATACAGAGAAGTTAAATAACTTGCCAAAGCTCACATGGTTGCTAAGTGGCAAAGCCTGATTCCATCCTAGCCAGTCTGGCTCCAGAGTGTGTCCTCTTAACTACCTTACTACACTGCTTATCTGGGAAACTGAAGGATATGAACAATGGAGAAAAATTAGTGAAATTAGACAATGATGGCAGTGGTTATTTACATCATTGCCCCAGAACCATATCATGTAATTGCAAAAAGGAGAAAACCTAACAGCATGAAGAAATAGATAAATTGATTAGAGAAATTGGTATTGATGGAAATGGACTAGTAACTGTGAAGACTTTGTACAGATGGCAATAGCAAGAGGAAAACTCCATTTCACTATATTTCTACCCTAAAGATGTGTTAGATTGAATCTTTTTTAAAAGATAATTTATTTTTTGTTTCTCTGAAGCAAACCCATGTCAAAAATACCTTCTGTATACACACAAGATAAATCTGCCTGTATTTTTTGGTGGTTTTCTTCCCCAAAAGATCAAACTGTACATCTGTTTACAATATAAGTGCTTGTGGTAAGTGACAAGAAAACAGTAGACTCCTGAAAGTTCCCATTATGTGTGATTCTTACACTGTTTTGGCTGGCCTGTTTCTAGATTTCATACAGTGTGATAACTGAGCATGATCAAATCTTGAGGCGCCTTCTAGGAAGTGTTAATGATTTTAGGCTTTATCTGGATAACAATGGGAAGACACTGAAGAGTATTTAAATAGGGTACTTCAGTGACTTTAACTGAAGTTTGAAGATGTCTGTCTCTGAGTACTCTGAAGAATTCAGAGGAGAGTATGAGGAGAAATAGACCCTTCTTTTCCAATCTGCACATCATCTTATATGGGTTTATTGCTTTGATTAATCTAAGGTCTGTGTTTCTTTTCTTAGGGAACCCAGGTTTTCCCACCTTTTATGTGCCATTTGCAAAGGCTTTATATTCTTTGACAAACAGACGCTTTCCGGTTTGGATTATCAGTCATGCTGGGCATGCCATGGCCCCCAAAGAGAAGAAGATTCTTACAACATCAGAGGGTATGTCCTTGTTAACATCTACTTTCCTTTACAGTGAGTGGATGTTCATGTTTCTAGAAAGCCTGCTAAGGTTAAGAGTTACGTCAATGGAAACCTCTGCTTGTGGCATTAGGTACATGGTGCCATATTTTGGTAATTTTAAGGTTTTTAGAAACATTTTAACTCTTCTGCAGGTGATTTTCTATAGAATTTGGGTAGATCAAACAATCTTTGACTTACCTTCTTTGTTTACCAATTAGTGATCAACTATTTGTTTTTTGATCACATATTAATTTTCCAGGGTTGTAGTAGGAGGAATGGTGGAGAAAAAGTGTTATAAGACATGCTCTTTACTCTAAAGAAGCTTTCTTTCTCATGTTTAGGGAGTGATTGAGTGACAAACTCTGGCCTGCTGATCATGTAGATACCTAAGGAGTAAACAAAGGAGAAAACACAGTGTAGATTAGAAAAGACCGTGTGGAGTAGGGTTTCCTAGTTTGGGCCACTATAGCAGAATACCATAGACTAAGTAGCTTATAAACAATAGAAATGTCTTTCTCACAGTTTCTCGAGACTAGGAAGTCCAAGATCAAGGCACTAGCAAATTTGGTATCTGATGAGGACCTAATTCATGAATGGCATTCTTCTTTCTGTGACCTCTCATGGTGGAGAGAGGAAATAAGCTCTCTTGGGACACTTACAAGGGCATTAGTCCCATTCATGAGGTCTCCAGCCTCATGACCCCATCCAATTCTAATTACCTCCCAAAGACCCTACCTCTTAATACCATCGCATTTGGAGGTGGGATTTCAACATAAGAATTTTAGGGGGATACAGGCGTTTAGACCATAACAGGGAGATTTGACAGTTGAGTAGGATTCGGATTTGTAGGGTGAGGAAGAGTACAGAGGTATAACAGGCAGAAGGAGTAGCATAGAAGGGAGCGAGATTTAGTGGGTATGTTTAGTGCTATGTTATGCTATGCAGGGCCAGTTTGAGAGGACTTCGAAAGCTGGGAAGAGAGCCAGGACTCCATGTGGTACAATGCTGGACAGCTTTTAAATGGAGGATGTAATACATATTTTAACTTATGGGAATTCTAGCATGTTCACACTTCTAAAATATAAAAAATGAGAGAGAAAAAAGAAAAACATAACTTAAATTCTCTACAAGCATTCTATTCAAGGACATTTTGTCCTAAGAGGTCCCCCTTAGTTAATCTGAGGTGAGAGAGAGGTGGCTGTGGCTTCACTGCCTAGTAAACTTGTAGAATACAAAATCAACATACAAAAATCAGTTGCATTTCTATACACTGACAATAAACTAAGAAAGAGATAAATAATCACATTTACAGAGCATCAAAAATTTAAAAAGACAAATACCATGTCATCTCAATTATATGTGGAATCTTATAAAGTTGAACTCATAGAAACAGAGTAGAATGATGATTTCCAGAGGCTGGGGAATAGGGGAAAGAGGGGAAAACTACAGGCCAAAACCTCTTCTGAATATAGATGTAAAAATCATCACAAAATATTGGCAAATTGAATCCAACAATGTACAAGATGAGATATAAGCCACAACCAAGTGGAATTTATTCTAGGTATATGAAGTTGGTTTAGCATTTGAAAATCATTTAATATAATCCATCACATCAACAGGCCAAAGAAGAAAAATCATGTTGCGTCAATGGAGGCAGAAAACACATGTGCAAAATACAATACCCATTTATGATAAGAAGTCTCAGCAAACTAATTCAGAGGAGAACTTCCTCAATTTGATACAGAATGTCTGCAAAAAACCTACAACTGACATCTTACTTAATAGTGACAAATTGGATGCTTTCCTCCTAAGATAGGGAACAGGCAAGAATGCCCCCTCTCATCATTCCTTTTCAACATTGTACTGGAATTCGTAGCTAGTGCAATAAGACAAGAAAAGGAATTGAAAGGCTTACAGATTGGGAAGGAAGAAATAAAACTATCTTTGTTCACAGATGGCAATAATGTCTATGTAGGAAATCCCGAAGAATCAACAAATAAAACCTTTTGGAATTAAAAAGAAATTATAGCAATATCACAGGATACAAGGTTAATACACAAAAGTCAATCGCTTTCCTATTTAGCAGCAATGAAAAATAGGAATTTAAAATTAAGAACACTTCACATTAGAGTGAGGGTGTATTTCGAAAAGTAAGCGGATATTGATTACCTAGCAGTGAAAGATTTTGAGAGCATTAGTGAAATGAAACTGAATGTACAAATTATGTTGCTTTGATTAAAAACATCTATTTCTTGGTTGGATTTTACTCAAAACAACCACCACCACCAAAAAAAATCTATTTCGACAACCGTCGTATTGAAATGTGACTGAAAGTGAATAAAATGTATAGCAGATACTTGCTGTGCTGTGAAATATTGTTAAAGATACCTCTTTATTGTGTTATTTCTTTATATATGCCACAAATTAGCACTTTAATACCATAGCGTTTCCTTTGTCAGGAAGTTTACACGTCTGTTTAGAATGTGCTTTTGCTATCTTATGTTTGGAAAACAGAGCTGCTAAAAGAATTCTTCCTAGAA